CGAGAGATTAGTAGGTAATTGTGAGGATAGTAGATCTTTTAATCTATTTGGAGTTGAATTGCATGTGTTGAGTGGAGACGCTAATATATGTGATTTAATCTACGGTTTTATCGATCTCGAGAGGGACGATAAACTAAATTTGTGATCGTCTTATAGGGTAGATAAAGAAAACTTTTAGTTGTGATATTTTTGAAGGAATCCTAACTATTAATTGAAGCCAACGTCTTAGAATCTATCATTCCCATATATTTTCTTACGTGTTTTTCTAGCTAGTTTTTTATTTTTGCTTTATTCTATTTGATTTATTTTTTTAGTTTAGTTAATCCATCTCAATTTCGATCGTTTAAATAAAGTTGACATTATCATCATCTAGTACTTGATATACTAATTATTTGGTCTCTTGGGATACGACCTTTCTTGCCACATACTACGAGCGAAGACGTACACTTGCGGTCGAACTTTAAAAATATAGGCGAACAAGTTTTTGGTGCCATTGCCGGGGACCAATATAATTAGTTATATCAATATTATGATAAATAATGTTGGTTTTAATTTAGACATTTTTTATATTTCTTGCTAACATTTTTTTTTCTTTTTATTTTTTTATGATGGATGAGGATGCAGTAGACTATGACTGGTGCAATGGTCCCATATACTCGGAAGAAGATAAATAGTGGTATGAGGAGTGTTTGATCTATCAGTTGGAAGAGTTTAAAAAGGTTGAGTTTGAGTTGAAGCGTCGTAGGAGAAAACTCGAAGAAAGAGGCATTGGGTGTGATGAATTTGGTTTGATGTTGTCACACATACCGGGGAATTGTCCATTCTCTAGTTTACCTTCTATATCGCAAGAAGAGATCGATTACATTACTCCATGCTTTTTGCCATTAGACAGTGCGCCATCAATTTCTATCATTACCGAAAAACGTGAAGAAGAGAAGGATGCCATGTTTGAAGTTAAATCCCCAAAAGTTATTCTCACTGAAGGGATGATTCAAGAGAAGTTCTTCAATTCTGAATGTTTAAAAATTGAATTTGTCATTCCATATGATGAGGATGCTGAAGTCTTCATTATTAGTTTGAAAGAGATTGTGATGCTAAACTTGGTGAACATGAAGAGAAACACAATGCTCTATTTTGGATTGAGTCCTTACTGGGAGAAAGACAAACTTAAAAGGATGAGAAGATCATCAAAATTATTATTTTGAGTTCCCTAATAAATATAGGTGTCTGGCTGAAGACGTTAAACTTAGCGCTTGTTGGGAGGCAACCCAATGTTTACTGCTTTATTTTTTTTAGTTAGTTATATTTTTGGTTTGTTTGATATTTTATTTTTCTTCCTTCCAGAGCATTACTTGGAGAGATTTACATAACAAATAATATGTTTCGAGATCTATACCAAGAATTGTCACTTCTCCGGTGAAGTTTTGTAAGTCATCTCTATTTTACTTTTATTGAAATTCTATTCTTCCCTTATGTGATTCACATAATTTCATTCAAGTTTGGGGGGAGATGTGATACTTTGATTTGAGAACTTTAGAGAGAAGATAACAAGATATCTTGTATTATCTTGCACATCATTTAGTTGCATGGTAGGTTTTATCGCTTTAGCACGTTTATTTCTTTCTTAGGATTTGAGTAGTTGTAGTTGATCGACTTTCATTCACCTTGATAAGTTTCTTGTGCACATTTGATATATAATTCGGGCATAATATGCTAAGTGATGGAATTTGAGAATTGATGGAATTGTGAATTTGAATGATTGGTTGATGCTTTTAATTCATGAACATATGATCCTTTGTGAGCTTTTGAACCTTAATTTTTGTTGAGTGTATCATTCATTGTTGCTTGAATTCTAGAACTTGCATTGGTATCTTTATCGAGACCACATGGTGTGTGTGTGTTTTTTT